ACAAATTACCTCAGCTGGCAAACATTATAAACATTTCAAGGATGATTAATTTCTCAAAATACCAAAGGTAAGCAGGCTTTAGTCTGTCACAACTAATAGACATGTCTTCATTGAAAGAATTTACAGGTTGAGTATCCCTCACCAAAATGCCAGAGACGAGAGTGGTTTAGGTTTTAATTTTTTTTTTTCTATTTTGGAATATTTGACCATACATAATGAGATATCTTGGGAATGCAATCCAAGGTGAAACACAAAATTCATTTAGGTTCATATACTCTGTATAGATGTAGCCTGAAGGCAATTCATGCACCACCTTTACATTACAGAGTCTAGACTGAGACCTGTTACGTGAGGTCAGGTGTGTATTTTCCACTTGTGGCATTATGTCATCTGTTTCTCAAAAGGTTTTGAATTTTGGATCATTTTGGTTTTGGATTCTCTGATTAAGGATATTCAACCTGGATACCTAATTTGTTAGGCAATAAAATGAAATTTAGTACTTTTTCAAGATTCATATTTTATTCAGAAATTTTAAAATATATGGGCATGTTTTAAGCCACTGACACATTAAGAAGTATTATAACTACAAAAAATAGACTGCTAGTACTATGAAAATTACATGAATACAGATAAACACTATGTATATGCATCTGACCATTGCTTTGTCCCTACTAAGAACTGTTCATAATAAATAAATTACTCAAGGTAACAGAGAGCTGATTAGCCATAAATTCACGAATCTATAAATACATACATAACTGTAACAACAATAAAAAAGGTTTACAAAGTAAGCATGCAAAAGGTGCTTCTACAAGATATTTTTTAAATCCTGTTGTTTTCTGAGGAGATGTTACTAAAACATACTGCTCCCCTTAACTCATAGTAGGTGTGAATGGTCCTGATTTCTACCTTTCTTCATTGGAACGTGGTTTAATTAAGCAGAAATATAGTGGAAATATTTATGCACCATAATCACCTTCTGAACTCCCAATCCTTTGGGGCTTAGGTGAAGTTAACTTTCAGGAAAAGACCCTCTAGCCCAAGGTCTCACACTGCACCTTGATATTTTTTCACTGACAGATTGAGCCCAGGTCCCACGTTATCGCTGGGTTATTGTTCTCCAATTTCCTTCTTTTCCCTTGATCCCAACCATACCAACAACAAAAGGAATCCTTTATCTTTGTGTAACCAACAGTGGGGCCCAGCAAAGAACCAGCCATCTGCCTTGGCTGGTTTTCCTTACTCTGCCAGGTCTTACTACATTATAGATAAGGGTGTTATAGCTCTATAGGAAAGGGACACAGTTATGGGAAACAGAAAAAGAGAAATACAAAGAAATACACAAAGACATAGAATATGGACAGATAAACATAAAACCAGAGACATTTCCGAATTTTAAAAATTGTGCATATGTGTGTGCTTATGCAATGAGCTTAGTTTCTGATTGAATCTATGTAAAGATCTCATAAATATATTAATACATCACTGATGATTATATACTAACAATTAGGGTGAGTTAAGCATTCCTACGTATTAGCAAAAGATTTTAATTATTAAGATTTATAATAATTTTGTTTAGATTCTAATATTAACAAATATCTAACAAAACTGGAATACTGAGGTTTAAGTAGAAAAGATTCCTTTCCATTTTCAGAATAAGGATAATTATGCATTTTCCTTACCTAATGCTCAGAGGTTTAGCTCTATTTCAAGATAAGGAATAGGATTATTTTTTTATTGGAGCATTTACCAAATGCCAAGCATTATGTTAGAAGTTATACATATATTATCCTATCCATTTCTTAAAATAATCCTGCAAGGAATAAATGTTCATTCTTGCAGAGGAAAAATAGCCTTACAAATGTTTAAGTTACTGTAAGCTCCTTGAGGAAAGAAATACAAGTCTTTCGTTCACTGCCATACTCAGCATCTTGTAGTTTTCTGGGTTGTAGTGGGTGATAAATGATATTATTAACTAGTTTACTAAGAAACAGGGTCACAGAGCTAGTAGGTGAAAGAACTGGAATTGTATCTCAGATTTGCAAATTTCAAAACCCAGTTTGCCCTAGCCCAAGACCATGGAAGAGTCAGGTAGTTAGCACTGGGAGAATTGAGAAGAGATACGAGATAGAGATGAATGGCGTCCATAGTAATTGAATATCTACTGGCAATAAGACAAGAGCTCAAGAAGCTGGGTTCTTGATTTAAAAATCATCCTAGGTCACGTAATAGCTGTGTAACCTGAGTTCACCTACTCTAACTAAATACCCTCATTTTTTATCTATAAAAACATAATGATGATAATAACAACAGATGATAATAATAAATCCATGAAATAGTTCTAAGGATTAACTGAACCAACACATCTAAAGTTCATGGCTCTAAAATCAGTAGTATTCATTATTATTTGCTCTTGGAAAGGAACAGCAATCCAGGTCATGACCCAGAAAACTTCATTCCCAGTGGTCAGGATGGCAAATAAAAGGCAGGCATCTCCACAAACAGCAGGCGAGGAGTTACCGCCAGAGGATGTTGAAAAGAAAAGGACTTCTCTAACTGCAGCATAGGTTCTATCTCAGTCATCTAAGGTTTCCAGTTTTGCACTATTCCTTTAAGCCAGGATTGATGGGAACGCTAAAAATTCCTGTCCTATTATATTTCAGCCCTTGATCAAAGGTGCATTCCTCTATTATAAGCACATCCAGTTGCAAAAGTCTGTTTATAAAGTCCTTCATTCACAAGTCAAAGGTGGTGTCACAAAGGCAAAAGAGAAGGCCTTCTATAGAAGGCAGACAAAACTAATACTTTTTCTATGGTGCAAAGGTTTAGAACACCATAGACGATAATAAGGATCCAATTTATAAGCATAATGCTTCCGTATTATTTTGTCTCTTATGGTTTAAAACCCCAAGGTCATATTAATTAGTACATGTAGAAAGGAAAGAATGACTTTCGTTTTTAGTTCAAAATAATTTTATAGCCCAGGTCAATCTTTCTAAGTGGCTTATCACTGTGTTAGGGGTTTTTAAAAGCTTCAAAGCTACTTTGAGAGATTCTGTGTGTTCAATACAATCTACAAGGTTTCAAACCAAGACCTACAAACTATGGCTTCGCAATCATTGCATTGATATATATAGCAAGGGGCAGTTGGGGAAGAATGGAAATTTTAGCTTTGAGAAGGGGATCTTTCTTAGAGTGTTTATTTCTACGTTTAACCTATCTTCCTCGAAAGGGTAATTTTAGACTGATCTTTTAAACATGAATTGTGTGCGTGTGTGTATAATTTTTTCTCTTAGTATCAACACCAGATAAAACAGCTTGTAATTTTTTTTTCTTAGCATCAACATCAGGTGAAAGAGTTTTGATGGCCAAATAATTCCTGTTTGTTATAATTTACTGAAACGAAAAAAAGCCAGAGGGATTGATCCTATGATGAAGGAAATTAACGTGTTTGAGCACTGTTTGTCACGCATAATGTTGAATTCTTTACAAACGCTATTTATTTAATCCTCAAAATAGCCTTCTGCGGGAGGTATTTTTACAATATTAAAAATCTGATTTGAATAACCATTAGTTACAGGTTAAAACAGTTGTTTAAAGTGATATCATTATTTTATTGTCCCATCTCATGGTATGTTATATGTGCCCATATATGTGAATGTATAAGATGCTGCATCAGGATATGAATTAAGAAAACATTTTGAAATATTTCACAAATTTGCATGGTGGTTATATAGGTAAGATTTTACTTTCCCTTAAAGACAACATCGCCAGTTTATATATTATAGTAATTTGGTAGAACTAAATACGGAAAACCAAGGGAACTTTAGAGGAAAAACTTACAACAGGCATAATTTTTTTTAATCCAGTTTTTATTGTAGCAGAATGCATTTCGTGTTGAAACTTAGGAACATAAGCCAAATTTGGAAGTGCATTACTGATGAACTACAATGGGCTTCTCTAGTCAATTAAAACCCAAAAGTGAACTGAAGGAGGCTAAAAATTCCTCTCAGCTGCTTGTTTCACTGTAATATTCTGAGACCTCTTAAGCACTGAAAAATACAGCTGTGTCTTTTTTTTTCTACTATAATTACCATAAATATATGAAATAGTGACTACATTACAACAGTTTTGTCTTAGTGCAAAACCGATGGTAATTGTTAGAAAACTAAGTTGTGCAAGTGGAACATAGAAACTTTAACTTACCAGGTTTTTTTTGAAAGATTCAGTGAATATTGCATTAAGTTGTACAAAATATAAATGCCTTGCTTACCCACTGAATAATTATATCTTTGATTACATTTTCAAAAGTATATCATTACTAACTATATTTGTGCTGTAAATACCAGGATGTCTAAGTGAAGAGAGTCAGTCTATAAGTCTATTATTATGAAGATATTAGTATGTATTTATAAAATTACCTTTCTTTCTAAAAAGTGAAAACATATACACATATTATTTTGTCACTGGCTTCAGTAAGTTTTTCATTTGTTGCCATTTTACTTTTATTCTTTCATTTTAAAAGTTTTCCTCGAAAGACATATGACAAAAACAATTTTCCTTTAATGAGAGATTGTTTGCATTTTGTGCAGTCAAGATTATATAGAGTAGTAAACACTCAAAAAATATATAACTTGCTTTGGGAAAGCAGATCTTTTTGGAGATTTCTATAAATAAAGTTAGATAAAAAAATTATGATCAATGATATAATTAATAATTTGGCTAATTTTTTCATAAGTGTGGTAAAAACCAAGAGGAAATCGTTCAACAGTTCTTTAAAAACCCTTCGGTTGTAAGTACATTTCAATAGGCACTTTGAGAAGTCCAATTGAATGATTAGTACAGCTTAAAGCATAGACTATGGTCTTCTAACATATTCATATTACTATATGGTAAATAAGGGTTACGAAACCTCATTGCACAGATTTCAAAGACAGGCTCCGGGGTGTGCAATTGGGATGACCTGAAGCACCGCACAGAAAGCCAACTAAAGTTCTTACCATGAGCGACAGGAGCCAAGAGCACCATGACGATTAGGAGCTGTGATGGCCACATGGCTGTGCACGCGGACGTGAAAGTTCCTCAAGAGCAAGTGTTTCAAACGTGACAAAAATAAGTGTACTCCTGGTAAGTCTTCTGTTTTCCAAGACCACTGATTTTTTTACCAAAAAAAAAAAAAAAATTAAAAAAGACTCAAAAAGCAAAACAAAAATGTCTCAAAAACAGAAATGCCAATATCCCAAATATGAGACCTGGAAAAGAAAAAAAAAGAAAAACATGGGTTATCAAATCCAGGTTTTTTTTTTTTGAGTTATTTACTTCATTTTATTTATCATTATTATTATTATTTATTTAAAAACTTTGCTATAAGGCGTGTGTGCTCACCAGAGAGAGACAAAAGAGAAAGTGAGAAAGGAAGCTGCCAGGTCTGGGACTTGAGCCACCATCAGCTATGTGGGAGTTCAGCACCTTAATGACCACACCACCTCAATTCAGGTATTTTTATCTCAATTCTTTGAAAGTTTATTTCTTGCCTAAGACATCTGTATTATCCCTCCCTTCATTTTAAGAAACATAAGCATCATATGCAATATAAATATAATCTTAAAAACTTTTTAAATGTATATACGGCCAAAGTATTTTGCTCGCAAATGGTCTGCCAAACAAATTCACTTAAATATATTAATTTTACTCTATGTACAGAAATTTGATTTACTTTGTATAAGCATTTTCCACAAATAAATATATTTTTTTAAATTTCTTGCCAAAAGGCATGTGCACTCACCAGAGAGAAACAGAGGGAGAGGGGAAGTAAGAAAGCATCCCCATGACGCAGGGGTGGTCACCCTGGAAGCCCTTTTCCTATATCTCTCCCACCTTTCAGGATTCTGGGCACACAAGTGCATGGACCCAGAATGTTTCTCAAGCTACCACATGGGCTGATCCCACAAATATAATTTTTATTAACATTAGAATAGTAAAATATGTTCATTAATGATTATCACTAAGAATAAAACAGAAAAATGTGTATGTGCCACATTTTCATTTCCAAGTATGATATTATGAAATTATTTTACATATTAACTACATTACTTTTCTAATTGTTTTTTGTAAGATCCGTTAGCATCACAGATTCTTCATTTACCAAAGAGGTCACTCTTGGAGCCAGCCTACGGCATAAGGGTTATGTCGTTGGACTCCCACATGACCAACCATGGTTTGAGTCCTGGGCCCAGTGGCTTGGAATTCATGTCAGGAGTGTGTGTGTGTGTGTGTGTGTGTGTGTGTGTGTGTGTGTGTACCCATGATCCTGGGAGGAAAATGGAGGAGAAGGGATAGTGGTGTGGCAATCCCCTCTGGGGGGTGATTTTTCACTTTCCCTTTCACTCTGTCTGTCTCTGACTCTCTGGTGAGTATACATGCCCTAAGGCACTTTTTAAAACAACAGCAACAACAAAGGATGTTTGTCTAAAATCTTGATACTTAAAATCTAGGCAGGGTATTTCCTAAATCACAATTTAGACTACTGTATAAATGAGCCTCAAATAAAGCCTCCTTCATGGTAGTCTAAACAGCTTATTTTACCCAAGCATATGAATACAAATAGAACTGTAATGCAGCTCCAACATCATGCATTCATTCAACACAGGTTTACAGACTATGCACTGATACATAAAGCTCTGAGACAGAAATGAGGGTAGACTATTAAATAAAGCATGTAACACCTATTAAGATGAAGAATCTTGCTTAAGGATGTGAAATGTGTTATGTGAGCTATTAAAAACTTAAGCACTAAAAAAATCGTTTTGACAGAACCAAACAGGTAGATTTGCCTCCTCTTAATGTCTGCACATATTTCTTTCTTTTTTAAAGTATGTATTTATTTCCATTTGTTATTATTATTATTATTATTATTATTATTATTTTAATTTGACCAAAGAGTGACAAAGAAAGAGAGTAGGGGAAAGTGAGAAAGCAAGCCACCAGGTCTGGGACTCGAACTGCAGTTGGCCATGTGGGAATCCAGAACTTTTAACCACCACACCACCTGCCGGCCCCCAGATTTCTTGAATATATTTTTTTAACTTGTTATGAGGAGTGTGCACTTGCCAGAGAAAGGACATGCGGAATGAGGAAGTAGTCCCCAGAAGAGATGGGCATGCAATAATCCTCTTTCCTCCATTCTCCTCTTGTATTTTAGACATGTGCAAACATGGGCCCAGTGTGTTTTCAAGCTGCCAGGTTTTGAATTGAACCACATACTTGGCCATGTGGGATACAGACACTGTAACCACTAAGGCATAGAGTAGCCCCAGATTTTTCCTAGAAAGTCAAAATACTGAAGAAAAGACCCAGATTCGAAGAGGCTCTCCTCGACAGTCGGCACCTTTCAAATTGATCAATCAAGTAGTAGTTCTTACTATTTGTGTTGCTTTCGTTCTTTCTACTCTTTTCTTTTTTTCTGTTCTAGTGATTAATATATGTTTTTAATAATTTCAGATTTTAAGTATAACATATAATACTTTTTTGGAGAGGTGTTTCTTATTTGTTTTGCTTTCCTTTGCTTTGTTTTGTTTTGTTATAGGGTGCATGTGTTTGTTCATCAGAGAGAGACAGAGAGAAAGAGAGAAATCACTCCCCCAAGGGAGATGGCCATGCTGCAGTTCCTTCTCCTCTCCAGATTTTGGGCACACATGCACACATTCCCAGCATGAGTTTTGAGCTGCCAGATCTCAGACTAAAACCGCAATCAGCCATGTAGGAGTCCAGTGCTCCAACCACACCACGTTCTGGGCCCCATGTAACACATTTCTGAAGGTAATATTAAAAACGTAGTTTACTGAAAAATGTACCAGTAAGCTTCATATTGTCAAAACAAAACCCCAAATCTTTCTGAAATACTCATCTTGATTATAAACAAATTTGTCAGATTTCTTTGATATTACTATTGAGAGCACAATAGTTAAGGCCAAAGATTCTGGAGCCAGACTACCCGATTTCAGTTACTAATTCTAGAAATATTGTGACATTGTGCAAGTCACTTGACACCATAGCTGTCTCAGCTGCCTATCTGTATGATACTTATTATAATTCCTGTGTACATAAACACTGCGTGCATGAATTAAAATCTGTAACTCTAAATTACATACAAGACATAAAAATATGTATCACCCAGAACAAGAGTTGGCATGTGATAACCACTTTATGACTCAACAATTGTGAATTTCATTTAATTTTTATTTTATCCTTTTGATCCTTTTGCTGGTAAGAAG